CAGCATCTACCAGTGAGTCAGTGAGACACACAAGACTGAGTCACCCTGGTCGCACTGTGCTCTTTACCCATGCAAAGCTTACATTGACGCACCTCACGTGCGCTGTGGGAAGGCAACAGACACACGGGAGTCCACGGGTATGTTTGCCATGGGGCCTCCTTTATTTAAGGCCCTGAGCTACATACATCATGTACACGTACCGAGCCAGCACATGCTGTCACAAGGTTATACACGACTAATCATTTCAACATACAAAGTGTTGTTTTTTTAAATGCTTCTTTCTAGCATGAAATGTCATGGCACTCATTGGGTTTTAGTTTTAACAAGATTTTACGGTACTTACAGCACAATATGGTCCTACAAGTGTCGAGGAAAATAGTTGTTACAAGAGGGTATGTAACTAGCACAAAAAGAAGGTGCGGAAATAAGGACGATAGACGTCTGATAGCAGCCCGCCTCCCCAAAAAAGGAGCAAACCACACCAGAGCACCCGCCAACCAACAGCTTTAAGAGCCTGATTTTGAGGAAGCCACATAATATACCGAGCTCACAGATGCTGTCACATAATTACACACGACTAATCATTTCAAACCTACAAAGCGTGCCTCTATGTATACTGTTTCTTTCTAACATGACAGGCCGTAACAAGTACATTGGGTTTTAGTAAGTTTTAGCAAGATTTTACGGCACTTACAACACACTAATATGGTCATATGAGAGCCGAAGAATAGAAGTATTACAAAAGAGCAACAATACAAAAAAGGAGGAGGGGGGATAAGGAAGAGAAAGACGTCCTGATAGGAAAGAAGGAGTAAACTAGACAGAGCACCCGCCAACCAACTACTTTAAGGGCCTGATTTTGAGGGAGACACATACATGTACATGAACAGAGCCCACAGATGCTATCAAAAAGTGACGCATTCAACATAATACAAAAAGCCAATGTGTTATCTTTCTCTCTAACACGAAGGGCCAGACATATAAAAACACACAATAGTTTGAAAAGGAACCGTGCAAAATCAAACAATGTGTGCCTGCAAGAAAAAACATTCCATGTTGACCTATCCATGTATGGCGCCTTGCAACTCGGCAAGCCCCTTTGGCCCCTAATTGAAATGGGCGTCCTCGCGGCAAAGTTCAGAAAGGCTCGGTGGAAATGTTACGGCATATTATAGAGATGTATGTGTATGAGGGGAAGGAGAATGGGAGAGAGAAAGAGAGAGAGAGAGAGAGAGAGAGAGAGA